GGAAGGCGGAGAGCTCCTTCCAGTCTACTAGTTGAGAAGCCCCTAATTAGAAAGAGGTTGTTATAAACTAATTACATACTACTTAAGACAGGACAAATAGGCTTCATTTTGAGTGGCAACTTAGATTACCGACGATTTAAGAGGTGGATGACTGAAGGGCTATGGTAGGAAGGATTCTGAAGCTGAGGCTTGAGTCCAGAAGCAGGAGGGATGTGATAGATGGCAGCGTCTGTCCTGAGCTTAGAAATGTGATAGCAGGTGCCACTCTTGATCTTCTGTGCACAAAGGACCCACCTGCAATGACTTTGACAAAAGAACTTCAATAGAAACTCAAATAATAGTACTTCTTAAACCAAGAAATAATTTAGTAGAGAATCACTTCATTAAAAATACACACACACACACACACACACACACACCCCTAACAAAGAAAAATACCAGTACTAAGAAGATACATGGCATTAGAGGGACAACTCCTGAGAGATACCCTGCTTTACTGACTTAGGCCCTTGAAATCCAAGGAAGAGGCTGGGAAAGGTAACTCTGTTGGAGAGCCCAGGAGCTGACATTTTCATTAATAAGTTCAATGTTCATGGAAGGAAACTTTAAGAAACAACAAACCTCAAAAAAAAAAAAAAAAAAGGAAAGAAAGAAAAGAAACCACAACCCTCTACCCCTGCCCTCCCCCCACAAAAAAACCTTCTATTATGCACAGAGAAATTAGCAGTTCAGAGCCCATAGTATTCTCCCACAAAGAACATTCCCAATAACCGCTCCCAGTGCTGGGGAGAGCTGGGCTCAGGCTGGCCTACCACAGCACTCTTAGCCTGGGGCTGTTCCAGGCAGAGGCTAAGGCTTGTGCCCTTCTGGCCTGTCTGGCATGGTCTGGTGGACACAAGTCTTCAGAGGCTTCACACTGATGGGAAGATTTCAGAAATCCTCTTCTACTCCATTCTGCTTTCTTAACCAGTGCTTAACTGCCATAATAAGGGGGCTCTTCCTTTCAATGCTAATTGCATCCCCCAATTGTAGGTACAATATCTTTTTTTTTAAAAAGATTTTATTTAGGGGTGCCTGGGTGGCACAGTCATTAAGCATCTGCCTTCGGCTCAGGTCATGATCCCAGGGTCCTGGGATCGAGCCCTGCATCGGGCTCTCTGCTCAGCGGGGAGCCTGCTTCCTCCTCCCTCTCTGCCTGCCTCTCTGCCTACTTGTGATCTATGTCTTTCAAATAAATAAATAAAATCTTAAAAAGAAAAAAAGAACTTCTTTATTTATTTGGGGGAGGGAGTGGCAGAGGGGGATAGAGGGACAAACAGACTCTGCACTGAGTGTGGAGCCCGACACAGGGCTCTCTCTTATGACCCTGATATCATAACCTGAGCCAAAACCAAGAGTCAGACGCGCAACTGACTGAGCCACCCAAGTGCCCCAGTACATTATTTTTAATAACCTGGCCAAACCTAAAACATACAGAGGAGTGTTCCAGTTCTACGTCCACACAGAGTAAAATATGCCTCTTCCTTTCAAATTCTGTAGTGAATTTGATCAAGTGACTCAGGAACGCCTAAGATAGGAATGTGTCCTTCATGAAATTAAAACCTAATTAAGGTACTACCTCTTCTGACCAAGAGTAAAAAGGACTAGATTTACCCTCCTGCCTTCAACAACTGGGAAACTATAGAGATTACATGAAATCATGATCTTCAGACACTGGAAAACACCCATTGCAGGACTCTTGATTTCTCTGAAAGAAGGGAAACAAAAACCAAGGGAAACAAAACCAAAAATGATTATCCCAGCTAACTTCCTGGAAGCAGCTTCAGGATCAGGGCACAGGATTGGGAAGGAAAAGTCCCAAGAGATCAGGGAGGCCAGGATGGCTAGAATTTGGGATGCAATAGTTTTGTTTCCACCAGCCAAAGTGCCCCCATGAGACTGAGGTAGTATCTTCAGAAAGGTGTTAATCTTAATAGTGTTAACCCTAAAGACTGCTCTGGACTCAGCCTAAGAAAACTTAAAGGCAGGTGCTGAAAGGATCAAATTGATTCCAAGCAACTTAACTGCACCAGAACAAAACTTCAATTCTCTCTGAATTGCCTTTAAAGTTTAAGAATGGATTTAATATCAAGATTAGAGCAAGGAAGGGATAGAATAAGCACTGATTGTTTTTTTCTAGATTTGACCTCTATAGGGCTGTAAATCAAAATCTTAGTTGAAAGTTAGATCCAAGATGGCACTAATAGAAATATAATGCAATCACTTACGGAGCTTAAGCTTTCTAGTAACCACATTAAAAATAAAAAGAAACCTGTGAAATTAATTTTGATAACATACTTTTAGTCTAATATATTTAAAATACTATTTCAATATCCTTAATATAAAAATTATTTTACTTTTGCACTACATCTTTGAAATTCAATGTTTATACTTCAAACACATCTCAATTCTGACTGGCCACATTTCAAGAACTGCCAGATGATGACATACAAACGGCAAGGCCTGAAAGGGTACTGAGCACAGGAACTTCTGCCCCTGTGAAACCCTCTAATCACTTAGGTCTTTCTGATAACCAACCCCATCCTGAGGCTCAGTCGGAGCCAAAGTCAGTCCATTAGCATAAAATCAGGTCTGCTCAAAAAAGGATCCTTGTGAAGCCTGTGCAGTTGAAGACGGGTCCAATATTTGGGTCCAAATCATTTCATTTTTCCCATAGCTCATAATAACTCTTCTACTTAACTCAAGCCACTATTAATCAACTACAATGAAAAAATAAATTCTTAACCTTGATCTATCAGGTCTTATGCCTTGATTATCAGTGGGGACCAGCTTGTTCCACTCACTGGTTTTGCCCTCAACTTCATTAAATTATATAGTAGCAATTCAGGCCAAATCCCTCCCCCTAAGACTATATCACACCTCACCTCTGTTCCTTTCTGCTTGTCACACAATGTAAGGGATGGAGACGTGCAATCAAACAGATTTCCAAGTACTTTTCCTTCACTGAAATACCAAAAAATCTCTGGGATCTAGTCTGCCCATTTGGCACATGTCCTGCCAGACTGCATCAGGGAAGAACTTCCTAAGGTCAGCTGTTTAGTGGCCTCAACAATATGTTCTGGAGAATGAAAAGTACTCATCCAGGGGTGCCTGGGTGGCTCAGTGGGTTAAGCCTCTGCCTTTGGCTCAGGTCATGATCTCAGGGTCCTGGGATCGAGTCCCACATCGGGCTGTCTGCTCTGCGGGGAGCCTGCTTCCTCCTCTCTCTCTGCCTGCCTCTCTGCCTACTTGTGATCTCTCTCTGTGAAATAAATAAAATCTTTTTTAAAAAAAGAAAAAAGAAAATCCACTTAGGGAAATAGTTTAAATAACTAAAGAAAATTGATTATTTTCTTGGAAAGAAGCCCACAATCTAGCTGCAAAAGAACTCACTATATTTTGAGCATTACAGATGCTCCAGGAAACTCATGGCTATTTGACATCATTCATATTTTTCCCCTGCCCAGGTCTGTCTTCCCTGTATCCAGGCCACAATCTTTAAGTTCTCAGGGTTCTCTACATCCATCTTTTAGGTACCTTCCTATCTTGGATCCAGGCACCCACCATAAAGTTTCTCAGGTGATGCATAGGAAAAAACATTTCCTTTTAAGTAATTCTGTTTCCTGTTTCCTGCTGCTTATTCAGAAGACCTGTTCTTCCTAACTTTCCTGATGCTGTTGGCCTTGTTAATGTATGTTGCCCCCCCCCCATTATCACAGTGCTCACTCTTCTAAAAAACAGGCAATGCTAACTTAGCTGGTAAATCTGCCTTATCATATTCATTAGCTACCTATCTTAAGCTTCACTGATCAAATGTCCAGTTTTCTGTCCTAGAACAAGTTCTTTTAGATCAGTACAGCTTCATGGACATCTGCTATAATGCAGAAACATCCTCCTCCAAGTCATAGTATCTGTAATCACACTGTATTTGCAGAGAGATTTCTTAAATGGCATGGCGCCTTCTCATAGGACTTAGCTTTCAGGTCGGTAAAGGTCCCATCAAGCACTCATGCTTCCTCTCTCCCACCTGGTAGAAATTGGCACAAGCTAGTTTCACCAGAACCCCTTTCTGCTGACCTGTATCTATAAGCTAGGTCAGATCACTTTGCTTCATTTTTCGGAGAGCCATGGGATTGCTAAAATCAATCCCTGGATATTACCTGGTCTCAGATTACTTATTTTGAGAGGACAAGTCATTCATTCAATAAGCTAAGCCCCTAACACTGAGTGCCTATTATGTATCAGGCAAAAGGAACATAAAACATTTACATGGTCCTTAATCATAAAAAGTTCATAGTCTCATTATGCACACAAATAAACAAGTAGCTTTCATACAATCATGAATCCTGGCCCATTTGGCAACAGCCCACCCTCCCTTCACGAGGCCCTTCTTTTCAACTACTGCAGCAGGTGTGGTGCATTTTACCTTCTGTGCCCCAAAGATGGGGCTGCCAATTTCAGAATTTGTCTGCTATACATTATAGCCAACGGTAGGCACAAATCGGTGAGATTTAATGCCATTTTTGATCTAGCTTTGTGTTTTAGGATACACATGCAGAAATGGCCAGGAGAAGGAGAGTCTTTGGTCACTAAGTCACCAACTGACTTACTGTGTTTCTTGCATCTTCTGGTGGCTTTAGGGAGAGGGAATAATAGAAACAGAACACTGCTTTGAATGCTCTGATCAGGCTACAGAGGATACGGACATGCACCTGAGGATCAATCCACACTCTAACCTGTCAGAAGCCCACAAAGTTCTCTTTGAACATCACATAAAAACAGCACTATCTTTACTTTTAACCAATTAGACCACATTCTTTGGGACCATTATGAGTAAATTACTCTTTTCATCCTATTCCAGTTGTGTCTGTTCTGTTTCACCAACCCCATCAAATCACTGAGTAGGATTTAGTGATTACTCAGCTGTTTAGACAATAAAAAACACACAGACCAAAGAACAGTATAGATCATTTTGTATTTATTACACGTTTAACTGAATTTTTTGCAATTACAGAATTCAACTCCAAAATAAGGTAATTAATGCCTGTTAGGCTGTCATTCTCACTTGCATTTTTCTCTCCTAAAATTTTATACAGCAAAACACCTTAAAGACATGTGAATAGGTTCAGTGCACTTTCAGTGGCTCACAATTATGAGACAAAGACCACATTTATCCATAAAAAAGACAAAGAGCTCAATATTGTATAATATTACGGACATGAAATAAAAGAGAAGAAAAAATACAATACTGCATTTTCAGCACAACTGTTTTGGTAGAGGCTAGCAGGTCACTGCTTAAAACGCTGCCGCTCTGCAGGGCACATGCTGCGCTCGGCAAGCTTGGCACATGAGCGCTTGGGGACTGCGCTGCTTCCATCTGTGGTATCTTCAGAAGGACCCTCACTCGGGGCCCACGTTCCCCTGAGCCTGATCTGCTCGCCCCCACAGGGACTACTCTGGTGGGAGCCTGTCTGCACTGTATTCACCTCCAGGTTCATGCTTGCTGTCGCCGGCCTTCTCACACAACTGAGGGTCCCCACCAGAGCTCTTACTCCAAATGTTGCCCCCTCACATGACTAAACTGCGACTGTACAGTAAAGAGATCGTCTACCCACAAAACTCATTCTCCCTACTTTAGAGTCACAGCTCCTGCAATGCAAAAAAGGTTGGTGATGCCTGATTTAGAATTTAAAACATTGAATTAATCTAGGCAAAATATATACTGCTCTGAAGTTCTTTACAATTTACTCTCTTTTTGGTGTTGTTTTTAAAACCATAAAAATATAAACATTGTAAACATTCTACTAATCACTTCAGCAGAAACTATGACACCCTATTTTCCATTTAGTGAGTTCAGAAAGAACAAAAGTGGCATGAAGTTCCCTGTGGCAGGCCAAAACAACGTCCCCACCCTAACCTACCATTACACATGTCCCACCATTAGACAGCTCTGCTGGCCAAGCCATGTCTTTCATGACAACTGCCGCTGCCACCCCTGAACAATCTTGCAGCCAAGCAGCACTATAGTTCATTGTAATCTCTCCCAGGCGGTTGTCCGTCTGCTTGCTGGACACCTTACACCCACTGCTCCATACTCAACCCCGCCTTTATGATCACACAAACACATAGAAGTAAGGACACAAAAAATTAGAGCACCTCCTTTGCCGTACACTACTCTCCTCTACAAAGTGAGAGGATACATCTTATTTCTTCGTCAGAGTAAGAGCAGAATTAGGGGGGTGTTGGTGACAGAGGTAGAAATAAAGAAGCTGATAAGTTTAGCCCCCAGTGTCCACTACACCCCAGAGAGAGCTCATATCCTTCACTACAACGCTGGGAACCTGAAGATGAATCTGATCTTCTACTCAAAAGGAGAAACCTGGACAGGAAATTCCAGTCATTTATCATTGCTCTTGTAGCAAGGTTTCACTGCATGTTTTTAAAAGCATAAAATTAACAAGGTGCTACCTTTTTAAAAACAAGTAACTTTAATATTAATTTTTTTAAATAGCACTTGAGTTTTTAGGGAGGAAAACACTAGACATGAAAACCTAATGAAATCTATCAGCTCTGGGGAATCCCCTTAGTATCTGTATCAGTTATGATTAGTGAGATAATTTAAACCGAATTCCACACCTGTGTGACAAACAGTCCCAACTAACCAGAGAATTAACTGCAAGGACTTAAAATTATATTACCAGAACAGTGTCTAAGGTGAAGTGTCAGAAAAAGTGAAATAATAAATATTTTCCACAGCACCATAAGATTTTATAAAATACTTACTATTTCAGTTTTTAACTTTAACGTACAATCTCAAGATTGTGGTCCATCATTCATAGTAGGCTTAACCTCTTTTACTGATAAGAGTTCTGACAAGAGGCCATAAAGGCACAACTAACAACAAAAAAATGATATATTTTACTGAAGAATCTGTCTGGTATACTTAAGCAGTCACTGCTTTGGCTCTATCCACTGAGTACTAGCGGACTCAAAAAGCCAGTAAAGATGACTTTCCCATTTGTACTCACAAAATTCAGCTTGTCAAAAGGACCTAAATGGACCTAAATGGACACTAAGATATTCACCATAACTAAAATGTCCTTTTATATCTGTTTGTTTTAGTATTGTGTGCTCTTATAGGTTATGTTTCCACATGACAATATTTTGTAAATGGCTCTGGGTTTTTAAAATAAGAATACAGTGATTCACTTTGAATTTTAAAAATAAATGCAAGTGGGAAAATAAACAAATTTTGTAGCCAAATTATCTGCAAGTATGTGTAATGAGTTATCTACAATAAAAACTATATCACAGATTGAATCCCCCCAATATCCAGCATGCTCATGGATCTCCTGAACTGTCAGTGTGTGCTGTGCCAACTTAGTTCAGTACTGATTTAAGCAAAACATAATTGAAAGTAATTACCTGCCTATCAAAAAGTTTACTGCATTCCAAAGCCAAATATGAATTAGGTTTGGGATTATCAATGCCATGTCTGTCTCCCCTCCATTAGTGCAGAAAACTGAGACTTGGCTTTACTACAAATCAGCTAGCACTAGAGGAAATTTGCTATAAAATTATTTATAACAAAATAAATATTTTCAGTCCCTCTACACTAAGTGACATATAAATCATTAGCAATTTATAACATTAGTTTAGGTCACTTTTTTTGGGACCCAAACGTACTGTACAATCCTGAGTAAAAGGTTAAGGATACAGTTCCTTGGGGATCTTTCTTGATCAGGATTCATAAAGAAAACACATAAAACCATAGCTTATAATAAGCCCCGTTTTCATTAGAAGTACCAAGAGTTCTTTTTACTTTGGTAGGTACGTTTATCTATGTAAACCATTTATTCTGATGGAGTAAAATATAAGCAGAACTTCTGCTAGGATCCCTCCATCACCTTCTGACACTGATACAGTAAATAGTCAGGAAGAGTAGAGCAGGAGGATCTAAACCACAGGGCTAATATGTCACCATGAACTCGAAAATGCAGCAAGCAGGGGATGGATGGGAGCAGCTGACAGGCCAAAAGCCCTTCATTGCCTACAACAAAACAAAAATTAAAAATTCTTTAAGACAAAGGGACTTAAGTAGACATTTCTCCAAAGAAGGTATATAAATGGCCAACAGGCATGTGAAAAGACATTCAACATCACTGAACAGTACAGAAATGCATTCCCACTCATATCTAAGATATATATATATGAGTATATATATGTGTGTGTGTATGATATATATATATATATCATACACACACACACACACACACACACACTCTCGTATGTATGTATAACAACCGCTGGTGAGGATGTGGAGAAATTGGAACCTCTATGTACTGCTGGTGGGAATGTAAATGGTACAGATGCTGTGGAAAATGATATGGCAGTTTCTTCAAAAATTAAATATAAAATTATATAACCAAAAGAACTGAGAGCAGGGACTGGAACACAGATTATCTGCACACTCACATTCAGAGCAGCATTATTTCTAATAGCCAAAAGGGGGAAGCAACCCAAGTGTCCATCAAGAGATGAAGGGATAAACAAAATGTGGTACATTCATACAGTGAATAGTAAATAGTGTTCAGGCTTAAAAAGGAAAGAAGTTTTGACACATGCTACATGAATGAACCTTGAAGACAGGTTAATGAAATAAGCCAGTCACAAAAGGACAAATATTGCATGATTCTGCTTATATGAGACACCTAGAATAGTTGAATTCATAGAGACAGAAATAAGAATGGTGGTTGCCAGGAGGTAGAGAGGGAGGGGGAATGACAAGTTAGTGTTTAAAAGGCACAGAGTTTTAGCTAAAGAGGAAAAAGTTCTGGAAGTGATGGTGGGAACAGTGTACAACAACATGAATGTACTTAATGCCAAAGAACTGTACATTTAAAATTGGTTAAAATGGAAACTTTCGTCATGTGTAATTTACCACACACAAAAAATTACTTAATAATATCTGAACAACACACTCATTTGAAAGGTACTCATAACAGGAAATACAGCTCTACGAAATCGGATACTCATAGAAGCTGATTTGTGTTCTGACTATGAGCAAGCCCCTATAAACACAAGATTGCCTTTTCGTAACTCTACGAACCTATAATCTCAACAACGTGAAGTCTTAGTTTCTGTTGCAGGGTCTTTAGGGCAGAAGGCAGGGCAGCTTGAGATTCTGACACTTTAACATTTTGCTTCACATCATTTGCGAAGGATAACCAGAGTTTGCCAAAGTTTTCAGTTGAGATTTTTAATGGCCTGAAAATAATTTTTAAAATTAGATTTATGTCCAGAAGAATGAAATAATTCTAAACAAACAAATACATATCAAATAACTCATGGGAATAGAACACAATCTTTGTAAACCTGGGTCCTGCAAAATTTATGTTTTAAATTAACTATAATTAGAATGTTTACCATCCTCCAAACTGATGAAAATACTGAAAAAAGATGTTATTAAAGTGTAGATGTCTTTTCAATAAATCACTCAGCTCTCTCTTTGTCTAAGTATTAGTAATTTCAGTAAAATTCTACCAAGTAATTTCATGAATCATTTAAACATAAAACTTTCATGTATACTTTGGATTTGGGGACAGTAAGACACTATCAACATCGTGTACAAGAGTATGAATACAAGTATCTAGCACCTTATGTAAATTAGACCAAGGAAAGAATTTTAATAAATGTACTTTTGGAAACGGTTCATGAGGGGTGCCTGGGTGGCTCAGTGGATTAAAGCCTCTGCCTTCGGCTCAGGTCATGATCCCAGAGTCCTGGGATCAAGCCTGCATCGGGCTCTCTGCTCAGCAGGCAGCCTGCTTCCTCCTCTCTCTCTGCCTGCTTCTCTGCCTACTTGTGATCTCCGTCTGTCAAATAAATAAATAAAATCTTAAAAAAAAAAAAAAGAAAACGGTTCATGAGACTGAAGATCAAATAGCGAACACTGGGTCTCTGGGGGTAGAATTCTAAGGAACTTTCAAATTCTACTTATATTTTTCTATAGCATTTGAATTTTTATAATAATTGCACACTTATTTTATAATTAGGAAAAATATTTTTTAAGGATACATAGGATTTTATTAATACACACTGAAGAACTGTTTATTGTATATATTGTACTTTTTCAGGTCACTAATGCTCGTCATGGGATACACCTTTAGTCAGAGAATATAAGTTTTTAGAAGGCTGGATTCTATCTTATACAGCACCATACACAGAAATATATTCTTTGAAAGAGTGACAGTGTTTTTACTAAAAGATTTTAAAGAGTAGGTAAAAATTATAGCAGTGTAACACAAATGAATGGGTGAAGGTTAAAAAAAAATTTATAGATATTCATTGACATTCTGCAATCTTGGTTCAGGCAACCTTCAATTTAAAAAATGCTTGAATACAGTAAAATTTAGGGACGCCTGGGTGGCCCAGTTGGTTAAGCAGCTGCCTTTGGCTCAGGTCATGATCCCGGGGTCCTGGAACTGAGTCCCACATCAGGCTCCTTGCTTGGTGGGGAGCCTGCTTCTCCCTCTGCCCATTGCTCCCCCACTTGTGCGCTTTCTCTCCCTCTCTCTCTCTCTCTCTCTCTCTGTGACAAATAAAAATCTTTAAGAAAAAAAAAAAAAAAAACAGTAAAATATATCCATAAAACCAAATGAGAGCAGAAGAGTGAAGAAGTTATCTTCAATTATTCTGATAATACTGCATAGTGTCTAGTATAATGCTAAATACTGACAATATCTCTAACAGAAGTTTAATAACCTTGAGTAATTTTCTTATAGATTTCTAAAGCTTAGTAAACAGATTTTATGAAATAATTATTCAAATCAATGAAATATAAATGAGAGAAACTTTAAAAGCTTTTTTTTTAAAAAAAAGCAAGGCAGAATCTCTGAAGTTATTTCAGCTTAAACATTACTTTAATGTTACTTTCTCTCAGAGGTTTTCCAAGATTACTAATCAACCCCAGCCTAAATCAGGGCCCATATTATAATTGCTCTTCATACCATTTACTTTCTTTTCACAGCACATTTCAAAATTAGATATGCATTCATGTGATTGTTTAATGTCTCTTCCCCAGATTGAACACTCCCTAAAGGTAGGGAGTATATATTTATTATATTCCCTAGCACCTAGCACAGTGTTTCTGTCCAGAGAGAAGGCCTAATAAATATTTGCTGAATGAATGAATAACTTGAATTAACTTTCCAGAAGATATTTACCTAATGAAATCTAATAGTGATAAGTTTACAGAAAATTCAAGCTGAACAGACGGGGTATCCATCATCTGATAGTTTATAAAACCAGAAAGATTCCCTTCTGTAAAAGGTTCCTCCATCTGCACGCTATATTGAAAGGTTTTGATGCTTCCTGCTTCTATTGGGGGCAAGCAGCATCCAGGTTGCTCGGTGATCTGTAAATAAAAATAATAAAAGTACTGAAGAAGGGATCAATACAGACTATCATATGAATACCAATTTTCTACTTTATTGAAGTGACACAAAAACACACTACTGTAAGTTGCTGAAAATAAACCACATCATGAAAATGACTGAAACTTTGACAAAAATTCATTAGCACAGATAATTAAGAAATAGTATATAGGTAAAAGATATGTAACAAATTGCAGTGAAAATCTCTGTAAAATATAGCAACAACAATATAAAAATTATTAAACTTGTCTCTTTTGGTTCTCAATCCTGGCTAGCACCAGATGTTTAAAGCTAGGAGATTTGGCGCACCTGGAACGTTCAGTCAGTTAAGTGTCTGCCTTCAGCTTGGGTCATGATCCCAGGGTCGGGCTCCCTGCTCAGCAGGGAGTTTACTTCTCTCTCTCTCTCTCTCTCTCTCTCTTTCTCTGCCCATCCCCCTGCTCCTGCTCGTTTTCTCTCTCTCTCCTCTCAGATAAATAAAATCTTTAAAAAATTAATTTTTTTTAATTTTTATTTTTTATAAACAAAAAATTAATTTTTTAAAATCCCAGGGGAGTTAAAAATGTGTGTGTGTGTGTGTGTGTGTGTGTACACACACACACACACACACACACAGGTGTCTTCCCTTCTCAATCTACACACTTACTCAAGCTATGGGGATAGAACTCAAGCAACTGGATTGGATTTTGTTTTGTTTTAATTTCCTTAATTTTTTATTCATAGTACCATTACCACAATTTACAGGGCAATATACCTGATATAATGAAAAGAATAAGACAAAGACAAAGCTGCAACAGATAAAAGACCTTAGGAATGTACATCTAATTGATACCACATTGCATTAATCAGTAATTGCACTTTTTGCAAACTGTGGCTATGACGGTCCTGAACAAGAAGATTTTCCTATTTAAGTTTAGTAACTTTTCTGACTTTGGATCATCATTACTTCTGTGGCAAATTTTTACAGACCCTCTAATGCTTTTGGGACAACTGTCCCAAAGTAACCTGTAGCTTTCCTGACAACTCCTCACTCCTCTCCCGGCTAAGAATTATAGCCCTTTTCTTCTGTTTTTTTAGAACCTTTTGCTACCAAATCCACCACTTCCGCCACTAGATCCATAACCATCACCACAGGATTCCCCAAGCTTCTTCCAACAAAATGCCCCCCTTCATGGGTCCATAATTGGATTGCCGTTGTCCACTATAACTTCCAAAATCATTATAGTTTCCACCACCACCATAGTTACCACCTCCAAAATTTCCTCCTTCATTATGACCATCATATCCTCCACCATCACCACCATTTCTGCCTCTTTGGTGTCCATATCCTGGTCCACCAACACCTTGGCCTCCTCTACTACTATAACCAGGACAACCACCACAGTTGCCACATCACCTCCTCTGTAACTGCCTCTGTTGCCACCACCTCAACCACCATAACTTCCTCTTCCACCAAAGTTTCTACCATGGCCAAAGTTAGCACCACCTCCAAAGTTTCCTCCACAACCCATGAAGTTGTCAGATCCACCTCCATGACCTCTTTGTGATCCAAATGACTGCACTTCTTGTTTAGAAAGGGCCTTTTTCACTTCACAATTATGCCCATTAATAGTGTGATATTTCTGAACAATTCTATCAACTGTATCATGACCATCAAAAGTTACAAAAGCAAATCCTCTTTTTTCTACTCTGTCTTCCATAACTTCTATGGTTTCAATCTTGCCATACTTTTCAAAGTAGTCTCCCAAATTATATTCTTCTGTATCTTAATACCACCAACAAAAATTTTCTTCACTGTTAGATGGGTACCAGGCTTTACAGAATCCTCTCTAGAAACAGCTCTCCTTGGTTCCACTACACACCCATCAACCTTGTGTAGTCAGGAACACATTGCTGCATCTACCTCTTCAACATGAGAGTAAGTCACAAAACCAAAACCCCTAGAAAGTTTTTGTTTGGGGGTCTCTCATCACCACACAATCTGTAAGTATACCCCATTTTTCAAAATGTTCTGTTAAATTAACATCAGTTAGTTTCTAAGTTCAAACCACCAGAAAACAGTTCTCTCAACTGCTCTGGTTCCTTTGAATCATGGCCCCCTCCTCCCAGTGGCAGCAGCAACAGCCGGAGTGGGGCTTGGGGAGGACTGGGCAGCAGTTTTACCTCCATTTTGAGGCTGGAATCTCTTTCATTTTTTTTTAAGTTCCACTGGTGAACTTAATGCCCATCTAGAGTCAGGAACTTCTGCCCTTGTCAGTGGTTCAGGCAATAACCCATTCAATACATTTTAGCCCACAGAAGAAACGGAGTGCATCTTGTGGAGTAACTAACTCATCTACTGGTCAAATCTCATCATAACTCCACCAAGGACTCCCATACAATAATGTAATTAAACATATTTCCAGAAATCACAATGGCAATCTCTTAAAGCTAGGGAAGAAATGCAATTGGTGCCCAAGCACTCAGTATAGAATAATAAATCAATGAAAGAAAAAGGCAACAGACAATATACATATTTATCCTTCAATAGTCTTACTCTTTGATGTTCTGCTTTGTTAATCTGAGAACTTTGTCTCACTGTTTATAACAAGAATGAATGAGAGATTTAAAGAGTGCAAAAAAACACAAAACACACACTGAAAATAATAACACAGTAACACATACCATGTGCCAGGGACTGCTGTAAGCATTTTACAGATATTAATTCATTTTCTCCTCTCAGTAACAGGCAGACACTATTAATATCTTCATTTTAAATGTGAGGAAACTCAAAGTTACATAACCTGACCATGTAACACAGCTAATAAGTAGCAGAAGCAAGGTTCAAAGCTAAGCATTCTGAGTCAATAGCCCACCTTTTTAACTACTGTGCTCTATTGATACTTGCTTTATCTTTATGGCTTTCCCCAATACAGGTGGAAAATCTTTATGTTTCCTTGTCTCTTTTGAATAATTTATCCCTACTCAAAATAATAAAGAAAAAACCTGTCACACCTTTGGGGTTTTATACTAAAGAGAAAAGGATGTGGAAGAAATTTATAAACCATCAAAAGATCAAACATCAGAAACACTAAGTAAGCATTGTCCATTTAAGGCAGAAATAAGGAATGATTCATTGTCTTACCTTGAAATTTTCTGCTGGAGCAATTTCTAAGTTAGCACTTTTCAATTCCAAACCACTCTTATTAGAAACTGACCAGACCATGAATAAACAATCATCTTTCCAAATTTTGTAAGAAGACACTGATATGGTTTCATTATGACAGACCTCCACAAGATCTGAATGCATGTGTTCAGAAGTTTCTTCCAGCAAAGAAGCAGCTAAAGAGGTTTCATTAGCAACTGAGGGTACAGTAGACTGAGAAGGGTGAAAACCTTCCATATTATTATCAGTGAATGAAGAGGGTGAAGAAGACAGCTTGCAATTGGAGAGTTTCTCAACTGAGGGCAGTTCTGGGAGTGACTCAGAATCCAAAAGCTCAGAGTTGAGAGAAAATTTACTTAATTCTTTGTCTCCTCTATCCTGCAAAGTATCCAAATAATAATCATCTTCGTAAGTTGCATCTGACGAAGAACCAAAGTAAGAACAGGTCATATGAGCACTGGTTGTTTCTCCCCTTTTGGATTCCTTGACTTTTGATTTCCTTCTGAATTTGTGAGATACGGTATCTGCTTTTCCTAGCTGTAAAAATAAAACATAATAATTCCACCAGTCATGAATTTTAAACATTTTTCTGTAATTTCAAATGAGCATTTTACTAACTTAAGATTCTATCTGTAACGCATAGATTAACAAAAGAATCAGAGATGAATAAAATGTTAAGCCCTAAAATTCTGACAGCTACCTCATTTTGAACTATTAGCTAAGTCTTATTTCTCATAAAAACATAAAATCAAAAAAAAAGAAAGTCAAAAAGTCATTTGTGAACAATTCTAAAAATTTGCTCAGTTTTGGAATGCTAGAGTAGAGAACTGCAAAAATTAAAAACAGTGAGGGACACCCGGGTGGCTGAGTTTGTTGGGCGTCTGACTCTTGATTTTGGCTCAGGTCATAATCTCAGGTCATGGGATTGAGCCCTGCATTCACTATGTGCTGAGCATAGAGTCTGCTTGAGATTCTCTCCCACTCTCACTATCCCTCCCCAACTACTTGCATGCACTCTCTCTAAAAAAATAAAAATAGGGCGGGTGGCTCAGTCAATTAAGGCTTCAGCTCAGGTCATGATCCCAGGGTCCTGAGATCAAGCCCCACATCAGTCTCCCTGCTTAGTGGGGAGCCTGTTTCTCCCTCTCCCTTACCTGCCACTCCCCGACTTGTGCTCTGTCAAATAAATAAATAAAATCTTTTAAAAAGATAAGAAAAGTAAAAATAAAAAGCAGTAACACTTAAAAAATAAAATAAAAACAGTGAGATACCTAGCCATTTTTTGGGTTTCCAGAGTTGTCCTGTAGAAGAGAAGATACCTTAAAGTACAGGAATGGCTCAAACTCTGGTTTGGTAGTCTATAATAACCATGATTTCATGGCCCCACAAGTCAATAAACAGAAAAGAAAAACTGATTTTATCTCAAGAACTGGCAGTAGCTGACACAAACAGGAGGCAAGAACTCTTATCAGTGACTAGTGATGTTTCCTCCAGACTCAGAAAATGGGAATGGCAAATCTGCCTTCCTTGAACCAAGACTCCTTGGAAATGGTCTGCAAATCTACATTAAGAGTGGAATGATGGGGGCGCCTGGGTGGCTCAGTGGGTTGAAGCCTCTGCCTTCCGCTCAGGTCATGTTCCCAGGGTTCTGGGATTGAGCCCCACATCAGGCTCTCTGCTCAGCAGGTAGCCTGCCTCCCCGCCTCTCTCCGCCTGCCTCTGTGCCTACTTGTGACCTCTGTCAAATAAATAAAAATCTTAAAAAAAAAAAAAAAAAAAAAGAGTGGAGTGATGGTTCACAGTTCACTCTTACCCTCCAAAGTCCTATCTAGAATCAGTGTAGCAGATTGGCACTCCTCTAAAGCCACATCTCCAACCTCCCTGTGGCCGTGGGGCCATCATTCACGATATTCTAGTTAACCAGAATTCTAGTTCCTCTTCCGTACCCTCTCACCCCCTCAAGTCCCAATACTTCTTCCAACTCTCAGCAGATAAGTTTGTCTCCTATCTTTTGATTCGGAAGTCATCAAACAAGAACTAAAATTTTATTCACACAAAAATGAAAAGGAGTGGGTGGGTGAAGGACTTCCACTTTCAAGTAGCTGTGGGACTTGAATTAGAATGTTCAGTGTTGCTCCTCAAGTCAGTAATTCTCTGAGTGTTTTCATTTGTTTTTTGTTTTCTCTTTTCCGTGTTTCATTTCAGGTAGTTTCAAATACTTCGTCTTCAAGATTTTCTTCTTCTGTACTGTCTAATCTGCTGCTAATCAGAAGCTCCACAAGCCATAAGACACTAGAGTGACATATTTGTTAAAATATTTAAAGAAAAGAAACAGTCAACCTAGACTTCAGAGAAAATAACTTTCAAAAATGAAGATAAAAAAGAACAGAAAATCAAGAAACAGACTCTTAACTATCGAGAACAATCTGAGGGTTACCAGAAGGAAGGGGCATGGGGGGTTGGGTTAAATAGATAATGGGGATTAAGGAGGGCATTTGTAGTCATGAGCACCAAACGTTGTATTAAATCACTAAATTCTTCACCTGAAACTATTATTACACTGCAGGTTAACTTACTAGAATTTAAATAAAAACTTAAAAAACTAAAAATGAAGATAAAGTGGAAGGCAAAGATGAGGGGGGGGAAAGCCTTGATCCTTAGAGAGAATTATGTAAAAAATTAACCCAAAAAGGATCTAGTATACCTTAAATGAAAACACATCCTAATTATATTTCTAATATTGAGCTCACCACCAAAAAAAAAAAAAAAAAAAAAAAAGGCTGGATCATTTGTCACACTGAATGTTCTCTTGAGAAAGACTGTTTAACTGAAAGTTTTGCACTTTGTTGAGAGCTTCAATAGTAGCGGTGGGATTCACAGATGAGGGCTCCATAAGCCTGGGTGCACTGTGACCACTGAGAACTTCCCCAACGGTGCCAGGGGATTCACAGGTACCCTTAACCACAGTCAGCTAGAACACCTTAAAGACCCAAAATAAGTCACCTTGTGGCTGAAATCCAAATGCTGAGACAGCATTCAATACATTACTTATTAATACATCTAGATTGAATTTTTTTTCCTTAGTAGGGAATATCAAGTCTGATAGAAATGGGGGGTACTAGAAAAGAAAGAGAAAACAGGCAAAGAGTATAGGGATGGAGGGAAAATTCCACCAAGAGAGAAGGAAGATGAAAGAACTGGAATGATGTAAAACTGAAGAAAATGTAGCTCTAACCACAATTCTGTACCAGGTAGGTCCATCAGTCCACCAAATGGAAAATTACATGGAATTCTGAGATGCTCAAAAATAGCACCTGCCCTTCACTCCAATTTTTCATTCTTTTACTATGATAATAATATATCAGCATAAAAAGTTTTTTAATCATAATGCCTGAGTATAATTTTCATTTTGTGTAATTCAGTCTCAATACACTTTCAGTCTCAATACACTTTTATCTTCTTAGCAGTTATAAACAAAGTATAAATAAAACTTTATATTCTGCCTTTTTGCTTAATATATTACATGTATTTGTTATTTTACAATGCAGTATTTATCATTTTTAATGGCTAAGTAATATTCTGAGCTAATATAATTTGTGTATCCATTCTCCTACTATTAGACATCTAAACTGATTCCTATTTTTTGCTATTAAAAATGCCATTTTGAGAAGTACTTTTTCCACAGACATATCAATATTGTTGAACTACTGTCATTGCCAATACTTTCATTAAGCCCCCTTCCCACTGAGAACTGTGAAGTTCCCACTAAGAACTCCCACAGGAGTAATACCTGTGGTCATATGTGTAACTTCATTTGGACCCTGACCCTTGCCCCAGCTGACTGGACTACAGAAAACACCTGACTCAAGCTAAACTAATTAGAATTTCTCTTTCAGGAATATAAAAAGTATGTCATTGGTGGCTCTGGAGCTGGGAAAGCCATTTCCCACCATGTGTATGGGAGCCAAGAACTTTTGTTGAGCCAGTTTTTTTTGTACAAGACAGGGACACAGATTCCCAGAGGAATATAATGGACTACTTACCAAATTGATTGTACTTTCTGATCCTAGACCAACAAATAATGATGATGCCAGCAGCTGCTTTTCTTTCTCCTCTTTAGATTGGGTATGGACTTGACACTGATCCTTTTTTGTTATATTTTGGTCTACATTCTCCATTATTATACTCTCTTGAGGAACAGGCGGAGCTTCAGTTTCATCCCCAGTTTTGCCTTCCTTCTTGGGAAGATAACCCTCTTTCCCCCACAATTTCTTTATACCTTCCAGCTTCAAGCTATTTGTCCTAAGAAGATTAAGAATGAAATCAAAACAACTTAAATAACTGCTGAAGAGTTACTTTCTCAAGGCATTTTTTAAAACACATCATTGCCATGGTCTTTTTTTTTTTTTTAAAGATTTGATTTATTTATTTGACAGACAGAGATCACAAGTAGGCAGAGAGGCAGGCAGAGAGAGAGAGGAAGGGAAGCAGGCTCCGTGCTTAGCAGAGAGCCCGATGCAGGGCTCGATCCCAAGACCCCGGGATCATGACTTGAGTTGAAGGCAGAGGCTTTAACCCACTGAGCCATCCAGGCGCCCCTGCCATGGTCTTTTAAAAACAGCTTTCACGGGTCCCCTGGGTGGCTCAGTCAGTGAGGTAACAACTCTTGATTTCAGCTCAAGTCATGGTCTGGGGGTTGTGAAATTAAGCCTTGCATCAAGCTCTGCACTGTGGATGGAGCCTGCTTGGGATTCTCTCCCTCTGCCTCTGCCCCCACCCCCTGCTCACACTCTCTCTCTCACTCCTCTCTCTGTCAAATAAATAAATAAATACATAAATAGATAAATACATAAATACATACATATAGCTTTCATATTCTATACGTCAGGAAGTAAAACCTAGATTTTATTTTAGTTTCAGCCAATGTCCCCTCACCCCCCAGCTAAAGGATTGAAGGCAAAAGAACTCTAGACTTAGTTAAAAATTTTAGATGACTTTTCATTTTACAGCTTGAATAAGTTATCCAAAAACAGAACTACTATAAATTAGTTCCTTTCCTCCACTGACTTTTCAAAAATACCTCTAATGCTGATGAGTTAGAGATCAGAAATGACTTTTAAGTTTCTTAGCTATAATCACCCAATGAAGGAATAGACATTATATAATAAAATCCTGTTGAAAGAAAAAAAAAATCATTCAAACCCATTCTTAACCCATCCAAAAAGTTTTCTTAATGTGAACACTAGCTACATTTTCAACTATTATAAATATACTTTTCTTAAAATGAAATGAAGTCTGAGCTATAAAAGAAAAAATTAAGAGTTTTGGCATGAAGGTTATGTTTCTTTATGCCTGAGTTGAAGAATTAAAAGTAGTGATTAGAATTTGGACTCACCTACTGTTGTGTCAAAAGTTACAGCTGTGAATAATCCCAAGTGCAGGCTGAAACAGCCAAAGATTACCTTTATTGTTTACATATAAGAACTGTGTGTCCATTGCACTTGGCTTATTTAAGCATCCCTGTCATAGTCCAAAACAGCACTGTAAATTTGTACCACAAGATAGATCATGAAATGAATCTAACAGAAAAACTCAGAAATATCTGTACTGGTTATTAGTCCCTTCCAGTTTGTTGGAATCATGATCAATTTGGTTTTCTATACTATGCCAGAAACAAAGACAGGTGGTTATACCTCATACTGAGTGAAGAACTAATGCTATTAAATACAAATTAGCTGAAAGACAATCTGAATGTTAATAAAGAATGCCTAGGGGTGCCTGGGTGGCTCAGTGGGTTAAAGCCTCTGCCTTCGGCTTGGGTCATGATCCCAGGGTCCTGGGATGGAGCCCCATATCGGGCTCGCTGCTCTGCAGGGAGCCTGCTTCCTCCTCTCTCTCTCTCTGCCTGCCTCTCTGCTTACTTGTGATCTCTGTCTGTCAAATAAACAAATAAAATCTTAAAAAAAAAAAATGCCTAGAGGGAATTAGTCTAATCCTCCTCATTGAATTTTACTGCTGAATGTTCCTTTACAAATATCTTGATTTCTCCTTTTCTTTCACGTACCAAAAGAGCCTTCTAAAAAAGTTTTTTTTAGAAAAAGTAAAACTATTAGTTATCCATCAGACCTGTGAGAAGAAAAGCAGTTTTCTTGCATGAGCAGATCAAAAGTGGTTACAGGAACCACTAAGATGACCCCCAGCCATCTCTAGGATGCTCAACAGCAGAAACTCAAAGGGATTCATAAATGCCCACAGCATTTCTATAACCCTGTTTATAAAAATACATCCTTTAATTAAGAAGAAAAAGGGGAAACTCCCCAAGTTTTACTAGTAAATTATTTAAATATCAGTTAACAAAAAAAGTTAAGTGTGGTGGACCCTGGGATGCTCCATCCAGATGACCCTTCAATAAAGGACTTATTGTCCCAATCGCTGGGAGTACAGCATGCTTTGGCGTTGCCTCGGCTGCAGAGGGACACATTGCCTGAGACCATATACCTCCCTGGGCAGCCCACACCCAGTGACTGATGAACAGAAGTGTAGAGTCTTGGCCCCCATGTGGACCCAACTCAGGACAACTCTGAAGGGTCACTCTAACTTCTGAGCTCCCCACAGGGTCAGCAGACTGCTGTCAGACTGCATTGCATCTTAACTCCTTCCTATGCCCAAACCTGCTTCTTTCTCCTTCTTTCCACAGGTGGTGATCCCAAGGGCACTCCTTTACATTCTGCATGCTAAATCCATCACGGAATGCATTTCCCAGGGAATCCAATCCACAACAACAGGCAAAATAGGAAAGGAGAGGAAAAATAAGCCTACAAGGAGCTTCAAGATACTTTAAAGACTTTTCTGGCATATTTCATCTGCATACATGCGTATTATCAACATAAATTCTCTGTCATGGATTATGTATTGGCAGCCTAAAAAGCAGGAAAAGTAAGTAAGAACACAAAATATGTTTCTTTACAATATGAGACATACTGTAAAATAATTTTTTTAAATATGAGTCATCTTTTCTTGGGTTTTGATAAATTCATGAGTTTACATGGTATACCTTTGTATTGTTTTTAATCAGATCAATCAAACACAGATGTAAATTCTGGCCAAACTAACTTCAAAAGATTAGGGATACACTTTAATTCAGCTCTAGGAATTCCCTTTTCAGATAGCCCCCAAAGACGGCCTAAAGTAAGAAATTCTATATTGGGCTTGCTACTACTTTACTCTCAGCTTGCTAGAGATTGCAAAAGAGTGGTTGTCTGCTCTCTAAAGCTGATTTGCCTTGTCAACTACCACATAGGTTCCCAATTCTGAAATCATGGGTAAGCTGTGGTCCTCTTTGGAAATAAATTTTAAATTCCATTTCATGGTAACACGGCATATGTGTTATTCCTTAGCAGTTCTGCTAAATGTCATTTCTCTCAGAGTAGTACATGTATATGTATAGGAATTACAAGGATCAAGTAAATCAAGTCCCCCAGATCTTAGTTCAGTACTAAACAAATAGATGCTGTCACCTGTTGTGCAGGTAAAAGAGACTAAGTTCCTCCTTGGGTTTAGAGGGTTCCTGTCCTCTCCTTCCCTTGTCCTGGTGTTCTGTCTGGCGCATTTAATTGCTATCACCACTACATTCAAATGCTCACAAATCATATCTGTTCCCCATACTTGGAATACCAAAATTAAATGTCTGGGAAAGAAAAGGGTGTCAACAGAACAGTAAAAAAAGTCTAAGAAAGAGAATTTCATTCAGCATATCATCTTATATTCCCCATAATCTACATAGATTAGAGTCAGTCTTCTGGTAAATAGTTCTTCCAACCATCATGCTAGACGACTAACAAATGCAAAGATGAACATAAAATAAAGTGACTGACTCCATTATGAACATATGAGGACTCAAAATTCAAACATATCTTTCAAAGTTGCCACCTTTGAGATTTTATTACATTTATTCCAACAAAGCTGCCATTACTCAAAACATTTTTTTAATAAGCACTGAATAATATATGGAATCGTTGAATCACTATACTGTACACTGGAAACTAGTCTAACACTGCCTTTTAACCACACTGGAATTAAACTAAAATTGTTAAAAAAGTTTTAACTCTTTTAAGAAGCTTCTTCACAAACAAGGAAGCCATTTTCATTACTTTATGTCACGTCAATAACCAAAGTTATCCAGAGTGGTCACTAATTTCATTTGGTTAACTCAGCTTTTGGATATTGATAATGATGGCAATGACAATTAGTATTCATATTAGCAGCTTCCATGTATCAACCACTTCCTATGCACTGGATTTTATGAGGCACTTTGTATATATTACCTCACTTTTTTAACTTAAAAAAATTTACTTATATTTCCTAAAATTTACTTATATTTCCAAAATCAAAATCTACCTAAAAAGATTGAAGATTTGGCTCCACATAAGACATTTAGACAAATATATCACCCAATTTTCACAGTGGCAGGAAAGAAGCTCTGGAAGCATTTTGAGCAAAGTATGCAGCTGACTTAAATGAAGTCAGTCATCTTATTTTATGTTCATCTCTGTACTGTCAACCTTCCAATGAAATGGCTGTAAGCTTTTGAGAAATGGAGAATGACATGCTGAATAATCACCTATGTATTCTTTAAAATAATCAACTATGTATTCTTTAAAAAACCTACATGTGTACATGTGTGCATATATATATGTGTGTATAACACACATACAGAAACATACATACATACACACAATATGTAGTAATAACACACAGATCATTATCATGTGTAAACTCTATGTACATTATGCTGTTTTGGAAGGAATGTTCTTCTCTTACAAGTTCTCCTGTCCAACATCAACACCCTGAAAACAATAAATAGAAACCACTGAAACAAGAGATGAAAGATTTCAGCTTTCAAGGACACTTCTACTTTAAAGAAATTTAAATACTCCTATGTACTCGATTTTAATAAGAAAGGAACTTACTCCTTCAGCCCGGTCTCTGCACTATTCCCAGATATATCTGAACCAAGAGAAATGCCAGCAGGAGACTGTCGTCCAGTGAAGCCAGATGAAGAAAAGGAGAGTCCATATGGTTCAAAATTGAGAACTAGAATTTTAAAACAATAATTTTACAACAAAAACAAGTTCATATTCAAAGCAAAAGTTAGAGGGGAAAGAAGAAGTTAACAAAGTTACCATTCACTACTGAAATAAAATAACTGAAGGTTAGAATCCAATGACAATTTTTATTTATTTATTTATTTTTTTAAAGTAACCTCTATACCTAACATGGGGCTCAAACCAGAACCCCGAGATGAAGAGTTACAGGCTCCACCAACTAAGCCAGCCAGACACTCCTCCAAAGACAATTTTTAAGCTGGAAGGGACTCTGGAGATGACCTAATCAAATAATTATAGTAATAATAAAAAAGTTATCATTTATTGGAAGTATTACAGTCTGTAGGCCATTATCTGCTCAAACACAAACAGTACTTCACTTTTATCTTTTCATCTCCCTTAGGAGCTAAAGGAAGATCCAACTAGGAAAGATAACTGATAAACCAGGTCACTGAAAAGTTGCTGCTCCCAGACAAAAATGTTTAATGAGCTATGAATAGAGATAACCACGTTTTTGCTTAGCAAAATGATCTTAGGCACATTCCTATACTGAATGGACTAATGGAACCCTCAGTGTGAAATTTCCCTTACTGAAAAGAATAAGGTTTACTCAGGTTCAGATTCCTGTGACTCTGTATACCCAAATGAATTCAATCAAGAACCATAAAAATTCATATTGTTATTGTGATAGAGCAGAAGCCAATATCCATTCTCCTCTTTTAAGTAATAGAAACCTCACTTCTTAGCTAGGTACATGGCCCCCCAGAAAAGAAATGACATTTCCAGACTCCTCTGCCATGAGCTCCAGCCAATGAAATTATGTACACATTCTGTGCACAAGTTCTGGAAGAAATCTTCCTGGACGAAAAAAACACCTTTCTTCTCTCCCTTCCTCCTTTACATCCATGAAGCCATCATCAATCCTAGGCTGCCCACTTCTGGAATTTCTTTAACAGAAAAAGTAGTTATCTTCTGTCTTGTAAAAGGCACATTTTGTTAATTTGTTTTCTAATATGCTATGTAGCTATACCTAATCCTAACTGGCATATTTTTATCTTTTTGGACTACCTGGATTATAATACAAAGGACCTTCTTAAATCATAAAAAGTGCTTTATAAAATATAAATGTGAACTTCTCTGTTATCTTCATTTTATAAAGGAGAAACTGTGGTAGGATTTACCATGAACTTATCAAAGATTACAAAAATAGGAAAAATGATAGAGCCAGATAAGAAATCAGATACCCTGGTTCTAGAGCTCCACTCTCAAGTATTCTATTATACTCTCTTCCAAAGGAAACAACACCTAATCCAAAGAGAACTAAATAAACTAGTTTAGGATAGAAGAAACAAATTCTATATCTAAAAGAATGATACAGAAGAGAAATCAATGTGCAGTAGAAAACAAAATGATAGGCTAATTAATAACCAGGAGAACTGAGTTCTTGATGTACATCAGGTATTAACTGGGTACATGAACTAGATCTTAACTTCTCTGTCTGTAAAGTGAAGGATTTGGGCTAAATCAGCAGTTTCCAAATGCTGATTTGATAACCAGGATCAAGCTGACTTTGTAGAATCTCCCACATACAGCCAAGCTTTCCAAGGTTCAGAAACAAAAGATACAGGAGTAAGGCTCAAAAATCTGTATCATTTTTTAAAAACTCCATGATTCTGATTCATAATCATATTTCAAAATCACTTCTCTAAATAGACAATTATCATATCATTTCACTCATATGTGAAATATAAGGAATAGTGCAGAGGACCACAGGGGAAGGGAAGGAAAACTGAATGGGAAGGAGTCAGAAAGGGAAACAAACCACAAGACTCTGGGCTCCAGGAACCATCCTGAGGGTTACAGAAGGGAGCGGGGGGTGGGGTGATGGGTACTAAGGAGGGCACGTGTGCTGATGAGCACTGGGTGTTATACACAACTAATGAATCACTGAACACTATATCAAACACTAATGATGTACTCTATGTTGGCTAACTGAACATAATTTTTAAAAAAAGAAATCAATTCTCTAAATCCTTAGAAGGTCCTTTTCAACTAGAAAATCCTCCCATCTTAAGCTTTTCAATCATGTAGTTTAACTTCCTATCCCATTTTGACCTCTTTTTAATAGCATCCGTAACTATTATCAAGCCTCTGCATTAACAAAATAGCAGTGAAGAGCTCAAGAAATGTTTCCTATGCACAAGTAAAAACAATTTAAGCCAAAGCTCAAGTAAAGATTGAGCAGAAAGAATTCAAAATCAGAGGTAGAGTTTAAGAGTGGGGAGAAAAAAACAACTAGACACAGAAGGACAACATCTGGAGACAGGTAAAATTCCTAATCTGAGACAACAGAATTAAGCACTGTCATCCACGGAAAGCCTGGAAAGGCCTGAGGCTGAGAATGAACTTCAAACCACATTATTTTCATTCTTCAGTAAAAACTTACCAAGATCATTACAGAGGTGAATGACTAGAAGAGCATAAGATTTTTTTAAAAGTTAACTGGACACTAAGAGTTCATGTGCATGTGGGGAGCAAGAGGAAAATAACGGTATGCAGAAAGAGTCAGAAGAAGGAAGCAGATGGCCGAATTGCAACTTACACTTTTTTGGTGTCATTTTAATATCAACCAGTTAGTTGTTCTCATATGCCTACCACAGAGCCTGGAAAGTACTCAACAAAATCATTAGTGATGAATGTGGAGATGAAGAGCTTTCAGCACTGAACTTCTCACTATTACCATTCTGAACTCCTACAGAGATAATATTCAGCAGTCTCTCTCTATTAATATGCATACTTCCCATCCACCATCCAAACATCTGAATAATCTGCTTTTTACCAAAATCATGGCAGACATCTTTCCCTGACAGGCTACATTTCTGAAATGTAAAGTTATTCTTTCTTTTCTTAGCTGTTTCTAACTTCACTGATCAGACATTTTGTTCGAGGAAGCATTCTTAAACAGTTTATATAAGCTGCTCAGAACGAAAATGAAACTCACTAGTCCATGGTAACCAGATTTGTTTTTTCAAACTTTTCTATAGATATGCTCATGTAAATAACTATGAGCCCTCCCTTTAGCACAGTGACCCAACATGATAATTCCATCCTTGAGTTCCTTCAAAATTCCGGAATGGCTTCCTTAGGCACTTATGTATATGGAGCCTATGACTTTGGGACTATCTCTGGGCTAACATCTTTTTTCTGGGTATCCAAATACCTAATCAGGGTAAACAAGTCACAAGCAGATTTAAAGAGAGATGATAAAAACATTCTCAGTTATTTACATTACAAGGCTATAATGTCAATTGCATTAAAAAAATTCATGTCCTTGGGGCACCTGGGTGGCTCAGTGGGTTAATAAGCCTCTCTGCCTTCAGCTCAGGTCATGATCTCAGGGTCCTGAAATCGAGCCCCACATGGGGTTCTCTGCTCGGTGGGGAGCCTGCTTCCCCCTCTCTCTCTGCCTGCCTCTCTGCCTACTTGTGATCTCTCTCTCTCTCTCTGTCAAATAAATAAATAAAATCTTAAAAAAAAAAAAAAAATGATGTCCCTGCAATTAAGCTTGTTACAGACCCATGAAAACTTACCTTTTTCCTGAGAAAACTTTTCCTCCTGCCGTTGGTGGTGAGGTTTATAAGGCGCTGCCCCCTGACTAAGTTCTTCAGCCACAAAACCATCCAGAAAAGATAAAGAAGCATCTACCTGTATTAGCATGAAGCAAAAATTAAAAATTAAAAACATTTACCCTAAATGTACAGTAGACTGTACACTCACATAATTTTAATCCATGTGTCCTAAAAATAATTTTTAAATGTAAAACTGAACTTCAATTCTGAAAGTGCCACCAAGCTCTCTAGCTTTCTAAAACATCTATATTCAAATCAATTAGCTAAGAATGTTAACAATGTAAGTCTTCTGCAATTGTGATCAATTTCAGTGCCCTGCAAAAACGGCAACCAATATGTTACAGCATCATATGTTAGGTGCTAGGACTGAGACAAAGACAGTTCCCACCCTCATGAGAATTGTAATCTACTAGAGAAGACACCTACACCAGGAGCTACAGGATCTGTATTAGTTTGTGCTGGGGGCTAAAAATAAGGTGTGGGCAAGGCTAGCTCCTTTTGAAGACTCCAAGGAAGAGTAAGTTCCTTATCCCTTTCAGTTTCTGAAGGCACCACTATTCCTTGGCTTGTGGCCACATCACTCTGATCTCTGCTTCTATTGTTAGTTGGCTTTCTCCTCTCTCTTTCCTCACCTTTACGTCTTGTGATCATGCCTTCCGGACAATTCAAGATAATCTCCTCATCACAAAATCCTTAACTTAATCCCATCTACAAAGTCCTTGTTACCATGTAAAGTTCCAGGGATTAAGGTGTGTACACTGTGGGGACGCCACTATTCAGACTCCCACAGTGCCTTTGATTTACCATCCTATTCTCTTCTACCTGAAAATGCTTTTTCACAAATCTATGGAAAATTATTTAATTTCAGCAGGAATAGAAAGGTATGAGAGAATGATTAAGTGAAAAGAAATGAGATGAAGAGTAGTAAGGGGAAAAGAAGAAAAGAAAAAGTGAGTGAAGAGTGAAATCTACACAAAAGGCTATGACAGTGGTGGCGGCTTCAGAAGCCACAGTTTGCTTCTGGTTTAGCCAGGTGTACACTAACAGCTCAGGTAATTAGAAAAGCAGGGGAATCTCAAATAGTTAAGTGGCACGTCACACTCTGAATCTGAAAAGGTTTAGTTTCTTTCTTTTTTTTTTTAAATTTAATTTATTTGACAGAGAGAGACAGCAAAAGCGGGAACACAAGGAAGGGGAGTGGGAGAGGGAGAAGCAGGCTTCCCGTTGAGCAGGGAACCCAATGTGGGGCTCGATCCCAAGACCCATGATGGCCTGAGCCGAAGTCAGATGCTTAACGACTGAGCCACCCCGGCGCCCCAAGAAAGGTTTAGTTTCAGTAAGATTCTTACAAAATGAAGCTATGTCATCATCACTATCTTCTACTGGAAGGAAAGAGGAAATAGGTTACTTCCTAGTTTACTACTGTATGTAGCATATTTATTCACCATTTCAATGCATGTCTCTGGAATGCCTACCAAACATGGAAGCAAGGCCTCTGCTTTTAGGAGCTATCTGAAAGAACCAATGGACAAAGGTTCAAAATGAATACGAGTCATGAAAATCTGAGTCAGAATTAGTGGGAAGGCTACCTCTCCCATCCTCTTTCTCAACTATATTTGACAAATAAATATTTGTACAAATCTGATTTCCTTTTGGAAATTTCCTAATTTATGCCAGTCTGGGGGAGAGACCGGTATGCACTCAGGGTGAGTAATAACTGAGCTCATTAGGTTAAAAAGGGTGCTGGCTGAAAGGTGGGAAAAGGAAAGGTGGGTAATCAGGTTCTAAAGTGGGAAAGAAGTTAAGACACCAGGGGGACAAAATGCAACACAGAAGTATTTTTTACATTCTCAAAGAAAACAAAGTAATAATTAAATGACATATTAGAAAAATTAAAGAGAGACTAAAATTTTTTAATTCTTGAATTACCGTATGTTAAAAGAGATGGTCACAGGATATAAATGCCTTCATTGCAGTTCTCCAGAAGAGATACTCCCCTATTCCTAACTAGTCGGGATCACTATTGACCTGCAGCTCTCAAATTCTCTCTCATACTAATGTGAGAAAAACTCCAACCTTCATCGTCAGTGTTACAGAAACTATATTCTGATATATCCCAGATATATCACAAATGGAAGAATTAACCTGTTATAGACAACGTGATTTTTACAAAACTAAAATACAGATGTCTTACCACCATGTCTTCACAGCTCTTATCAACTGGAAGCAAGCTCTTCATAAGTTCCACATTCTCACATAAGTGTTTTAATTCGAATGCATGCTGTCTCATACAAGTATCCAGAGATACGGTGAATTCCTGGATTAATCTCTCGACTATGTTAGAAGAGTGTGCTTGGGATGTCAACTTGGTAACAGCAGCGATTAACCAGGCTTTTGTTTCTGAAGAAACTGAGTCACTTACAAGTAACTTGTAGAGCTTGGTTAGAACTTCCTCTGGTGTGTCCTTATCTAAGAGGTAATAATACTCCCCTAAGACCTATGAGTAAAACAAACAGATGTTTATATAGAAGTATCAAGTTACGCAGCAAACTGTACTCAGAAATCCAAACAAAGTAGCTACTGCTGGAGTCAATTTACTCTAGATTAAACATACTGTCATAGCAAATTATTGGATAAGGATAAAACTATACATTTCAGGTTCAAAATTATATAAGTATTGGAACTCCATACAAAAAGGTTTTCCACATCTTTATCATTAATAATATATAAAGCAGCCCACCTTTATAAGTTCACTTTCTTCTGATTTTCAGGTTTGGTTATTGCTTTTTATATGCCTGTCCACACTCTGTTACTTATTTTGCAATAAGCACTTAAACCAGGGGTTCTCACATGCTAATATGCATGAGAGTCACCTGAGGTGTTTCATAAACATACAGATTTCTAGGTTCTACCCCCAGATATTCTGAGTTAATATGTCTGTCTTGGGGATCTAAAATACTCATCTTGAACCAGCATCAGCTGATTCTGATGCAGATGATCCAAAGAAGAAACTCTGAGGAACACTGATCTAAGTCACATACGTTTTTTCTTACATCTAACTTATTTAGGTGATACATAATCCTAATGGCCTAAGAATCATTAATAACTGATATTTCGGGGCACCTGGGTGGCTCAGTGGGTTAAGCCTCTGCCATGACTCAGGTCATGGTCTCAGGGTCCTAGGACTGAGCCCCACATCAGCCTCTCTGCTCAGCAGGGAGCCTGCTTACCACTCTCTCTCTGCCTGCCTCTCTGCCTACTTGTGACCTCTTTCTCTGTCAAATAAATAAAATCTTTAAAAACAAACAAACAAACAAACTGATAATTCATGGAGTGTGAGATCTTTCCTAAGTGCTACTTATAGAGTATTTTCATGTCTTTGAGTAACATTGGCATCAGCAGTTTAAAAAAAAAAAAAACCAACAGTGAGGTGAGGTGACAGGCAAGGAAAAATTTATAGCTAGTAAAATGAACAGGAGGAAAAATAAATAGAACTAAGTAAGTTCAATCTTTAAAGTAGCAAGATAATTTTTTGTGTGGTTTAATAAGATGGAAGATAGCTCTAGAAAAGCTAGTAATATAAATTCCAGTTCAAAAATTAATGGGAAGATGGAGTAGGTGCATTTTCCCCTATTCTTCCCAATAAGTATACCTAAAAACCTTTGATGTTATGTATAAAGCACACATAAAAAGACACCAATAGGTGGAGAAAAGAAGGCTGACTGCTAAGGATGCTGGGACAGTACAGTGGGTTATCTGCTGCTTCATACACCCCAGACTGGGTACTAGCAAGCCAGCAACCTGGAAACACCAATGGGTGCAGACAAACTGGCCCGAAGTAAAGCCTGCCCTCTAGTGAAAGAGCCAGGAGGCCAGAAAACTTTAAGACAATAACCCTTCTACTCCAGCCAAGCACTACACAGAAAAGAACCATAGACCCACCCACACCAGCACAGGCAGAGTAGAGAGCCAAGACTTCCACCCTACCAAGCTGTAAGAGGCACCCCCATTCCCACACAAGGGTAGTGACTGAGAAGTCCCTGTGGAGAATCAGGACTTTCATCCCCACCAACTGTAGAGAGGCCCACTCCTCCACAGTGTCCATGAAGACCACATATGAAGTCACTTCACCTCTACCCAAGTATAAGAGGGACCCCACCCTACCTCTGCTAGGGTGGGGTCAGGAGAAGCCTAGAGGAGAGTCAGGACTTTCGCCATGCTCAGCCATAGCTAGACAACCCCTTCACAATTCAGTGGAGGCCACATAGTAGAGATCTCAACACCTGTGTCACAATACCATCACCAAAAAAATCTAATCAACGTTTATTGGACATACCATCCAACAACAGCAGAATACCCATTCTTTTCAAGCACCCACAGAACATATAGTAAGATATATCTTGGGCCATAAAACAAACCTCAACAAACTTAACACAACCAAATTCACCAAGTATTTTCTCTGAAAACAATGGCATCAAACTAGAAATCAATAACAGGAACTTTTCCAAACACTTAAAAATTTAACAACACTCTTCTATACAATTTTTCCAGAACATGGAAGAGGAAAGAACATTCCTTAATTCAGACCAAAACTGTAACAACAGAGTAGAAAAAAATCTCATGAACAGAGATGTAAGAATTCTTTTTTTTTTTTTTTGAAGATTTTATTTATTTATTTGACAGACAGAGATCACAAGTAGGCAGAGAGGCAGGCAGAGAGAGAGGAGGAAGCAGGCTCCCCACCAAGCAGAGAGCCGGATGCGGGGCTCGATCCCAGGACCCCAGGACCATGACCCAAGCTGAAGGCAGAGGCTTAACCCACTGTGCCACTCAGGTGCCCCGAGATGTAGGAATCTACAAGAAATCTATACACATACACACACACACACACACACACACACACACACACACACACGCATCCTAGATTAGTGAGTTCAGCAAGGTTCAAAGATTGCAAAGCAAGATTGCAAAGACAAGATCAAAATACAAAAATATTGTACTTGAATAAACTAGCAACAGACATGTGGGAACCAAAATTAAAAATACAATTTATTTACTACTGCTCTAAAGAAAGTGAAATACTTAAGTATAAATCCAACAAAATTTGTACAGAATCTGTATGTTATGGAAAGAAATAAAAGCACTATAAATATATGGAGTGACATGGAGAAAAAAAAAAGAAAGAGCTGCCAATACAATAACCATTCAGGCAAGGATTACCAATACTAAAACCACTGGTGAAAGACAGCTGAGGAAAAGATGTTCATGAGTAGCCACATAGAATCACCTTAGATTAATTACAAATTACCAAGAGAAAGGGCATCTTTACAATGGAGAGATCTAAATAAAGATCATCATCTTAACCAAACAATGAAACTTAAAATCACTAATGACTAGAGGAATTGATACCAAATGTGTCCTGATGATGCAGTGGAAAGTACAAAATATTGTTGATGTAGTATTCTTGCTAAAAATGTTTAACCAAACCAGAAATAATGAGGCAAATTCAGGATGCTGGGTAGTCTATAAGTCAACAGCATTCATCCAAAAAAATCAGTATCATGAAAACAAAAGGAAACTGAGGATCAATATAAAATAAAAGAGGCTAAAAAGACAACCAAAGGCAATTTGTGAACCCTGACTGGATCCAGGATTGGGAGTAGTAGAAAAACAACCATAATAGATCTTTTTTGGACAAATGGATAAATGTGAAAATGGACTACACAGTAAGTGATATTAATGGATTAATGTTATATTTCTTATTACCAATGTAATAATGGTTCTATGACAGGACAATGTCATTCTTAAAGATTCACAGTGCATTTTTTAAGGAGTGTCATGATATCTGCAACTCTATTGTAAATGGCTCAGCAAAACAAACTGTATATAGGTAGAGCTACATATAGATATAGATACAGTAAAGCAAAGGTGGTTAAAAAATATTAACTGGGAATACAGATGAAAAGTATAGAGGTACTTATTATAGTAGTCTTTCAATGTTCCTGCAGTTGAGAAAAAAATTCTTAAATAAAAGTCTGGGTAAAGTTTAAGTTAACAAGCTAACATTTGGCCAAAGTATAAAATATTAAAATATGTACAGCCTATGATCTAGTAGTTGTACTTCACCAAATCTCCCCCTAACAAAACTCACCCATATGCACACAAAAAATACACAGAGATGATGATATGCGTGCAATTACCTGTGATTATATTATATACATGTGACCTTCATCCTACAAAGAGATGATCTCCTTTGCTGGCTTTGATGAAGCCAGGAGGTATGTCAGGAGGTCTACATGAATGAACAAAACACGCAGCTCTGGGAACTAAGAGTAGCCTACAGTCAACAATCTGAACCTCAAACACTCAGTCCTACAGCTGCAAGAACCCGATTTCTTCCAACAACCACATGAACTTGGGAGGGGATCCCTCACCAGTCAAGATTCAGATGAGACAGCAGCCCCAGCCAACACCCTGACTGCAACCCTGAGAGTCTCTAAGCAGAGCACCGAGATGTTTTAAGCACTAAGTTTGTGGGAACACACAGCAACAGAAAACTAATATAACAGACACACAGGGGGCGCCTGGGTGGCTCAGTGGGTTAAAGCCTCTGCCTTCAGCTCAGGTCATGATCCCAGGGTCCTGGGATAGAGCCCCGCATCGGGCTCTCTGCTCAGCAGGGAGCCTGCTTCTCCCCTCTCTGCCTGCCTCTCTGCCTGCTTGTCATCTCTGTCAAATAAATAAATAAAATCTTAAAAAAAAAAAAAAAGAATTAAAAAAAAAAATAACACACAGTGTTCACATATTCTAACACAGATTCGCACAGAAAACACAACAAACGTATTGTAGACACAGATAGCTAACCAAATACCTATACTTAAAAGATAAGACAAGAGAGATGGCAGGGAGAATGAACAGACAGCTAGATGGGTAAGTGACAGAAACTAGCCACTGGGAAAGAAAATTGACAGCTAGAGTCAGCAGAGTAGAACTGAATGACTTCTAAAGGAAATAAACTGTTAGTATTTGGCATTATAAAAAATATTATAAATACTTATGATCTAATGTACTTTGCTCACCCAACTCATAACTTGAAGAAATTTCTGTGGATAAAACACATTTTCCACATCTAGTAAAGTGAGATAAGACTGAACTGCATAAAGCCTTAATTGTTGATCTTCTGTTTCATCATCAAAACCTACAAAGAAATTGATACATCATTTTAACTTCCACTAAATTCTCTAAGGACTCCATAACAAAACATTTAATTTTTGGATCTCTATTTTACAGAATGCAGTAATTTACTAACCTTCTGCGAGCAGTCTCATAAAGTTATTGGGAATATCAGGATGCATGACATCTCCTCCCACTGAAAACACAGCATTCATTGTCTGAATAAACCATGCATTATCAGGAGCATATGTGTCCACAGTGTTAAGAACAAGTACACTTCCAAGTGCCATGTATTAAAATTATCTTTGCACCAACCTTTTAAAGAATAACCCCCAACCCATCCTACCTTGTCATTTTTGCTCCTAACCTCCGCCAACAAATTGTTCTGTACTCCAGTTTAATATAAAATAGATGCTCAGTAAAGACTTATTTAATAAGCTTAATAAACTAAGTTCATGTTGCTTCATCTAGCACTGTTCCTTGTATGTAACTAAGTATCCAATGAATACGTGTGAAATAATTTAAAGAAATGTTCCAGCTGACTAAGGACAAATAATGGAAAATGATACATACTTCAAAGAGGCTAAATGTGGTGTGTCTACCAGAACAAGCTGTTTAACGTCTTCTCTAATCTGTTCTGTTTCAGTTCTAAAATTCTATCATTCTGCTGGCCAGAGCTACAGCACTGGCTAGGAAAAAACTATACTTAAGCAATTTCCAAGACACCTGGATTAACACTGTACATTACTCTTTCTTAGATTTAAATAACAGACATCTTTAAAAGAATGGAATCTCCTTGTGACCTACAAAGTTACACTGACTTTTAAAAACCAATTGCATGCAGCACTGGGTGTGGTGCAAAAACAATGAATACTGTTACGCTGAAAATAAATTTAAAAAAAAAAAAAAAAACCAAAAAACCAAATGTGAAGAAGAGTGACATGTGGAGTTCCCAACCACCTTATCACAACAATTTCCAGTATAAACAACAGTTGAAAGGATAAATTTTAGATGCTGATCCCTACTCCCAAGGCCCCCTCTGTAAAACAAGAACTTTTATCAGAAAAGAAACTAAGTATGAAGTAAAGTCAAAGATAAGGAGGCACTGGGACTCCTGAGTGGCTTAGTCAGTTAAGCATCTGGCTTTGGCTCAAGTCATGATCCCAGGGTCCTGGGACTGAGTCCCACAACACGCTCCCTGCTCAGCAGAGAGTCTGCTTCTCCCTTTCTAAAGGTATCCATGACTCATGGTCCAAACAAAGGATATTTCTCAGCAAGCTCAGCTATTTTGCCAACCAAATTGACAATAATATATTCTTCTTTGCTCTGATGTAAATATTCAAGCATTTTCTGGACAATCACTGTTATATTCTGTGCATTAGTAATTCTGTAAAGAAGTTCCAAAGTCTATTTAAGAAAGAGAAATAAAAACAGTATTACAAAACTATGCATGATAACTCCAATAAATACAGCACTATATAGGTTTATAATACAGTTGATTTTCCCACTTTTGCACAGGTCAGCTGGGCAGTCCGTTAGTAGGTGCTGAAGAAATGCACATTTTAACTGAAACAGAACTTAAGAAAGACAGAACCTAGTGTCAAAAAAATTAATCATAATCAATTGCAAAGTCTAAAAGGCTTCTACTGATCTCAATAAGTATAATCTGACTACTACTACATAAGAGGCCACGTAAAGACTAAAAAATTTAAAGGCTTACTTCTTAAACCTGTATTACTAATGCCTGTATGTGCACGCATATATACACACATAAAACACATATAAAAATCCAGTCTTACAAACTATTTTCCACACTACCCAAACAATCGAAAACAGCCCTTGAGCAGGTTTGTCAGCCGAGGGCAAACGGCCTCTAATGGACAAGGGTTGGTGGCTCAAGTGCTTCAAAGCCTCAGCAAGGCCTATGTTCAGAATCTCAGGCAGCAAGGAAAAACTGTGTTACAGCCACCATCTCAGTGCTCAGGAATATACCTCTTGCTTCTTCAAGCAAAATGAAGGAAGACCAGTACCACAGTAAGCTCCCATTCAGCTGGGCTTTCTAAGGCCCTACATTAAGGTTCTAAAAATACTGTAATTCCCAGAAGTCAATATGAGACAGTACTGAGAAGGTATTATTTACTGGTATTTTAGGATCAACAACAACAGCTGCAAGAGAACGTCCACATATCCCACTTGTTAGACTTGTTCATTAGGGCTCTTTTCAATTTTTCAATCTTTATAGCCAGGATTTCAAGTACAAAAGATAACTGTTTCAGTTAATCTTTGACTCCATTTAAAATCTACAAAAACACAGGTCCCCCTATCGTTAGTTTTCAATTTATCTAGCTGTCTCAAACATGCTCCCTATAGATTCTGAACTATGTATTATATATTTTTAGATAATTTACACCCCATTTATTTCCTATTCTAAGACCATGCAATTCTGCATTTCCAAGACTGCATGGGATATGATATTTTTATGTTACCTCCTTCTTTCTCCCTGTAAGAAAGATAAGTAATAAAACCAAATAAAAGGGAATCCCAGTCCAAAGCAACAGGTCCCTCCATACCCAGGGACCAAAGTTCCTGGTATGCAATTACTTATAGAGGTTAAATGTGACAGTGGCATTCAAAGACAGTACTGCAATACCATCTTGGGACACCACTGATACTTAGTATCTTCCCCGAAGGATTCAAACTACTTTTCTCACTACAGGTAATAGAAAAACAGATCCAGACTTGACCATTTTAAACAGATCAGACATGATCATTATATTTTCCCTTGGACTCTCATTTTTAAATAAGAGCCCCCAAATTAAATATAGCAATAAGAAAACTGTACCTAAGTCAACTCTGCTCAATTTGTAGCCAATCACACAAAGAAAATGCATGCTCTATATCTGTTCAAAGTGGAAGAGCCATATAATTATTAGTTATTGTCCTTTGGTGCCTTATCACTTTTCTATGATGCCTATACATAGAAATTAGTATATCCGTAAACTTCCCAGATTCATTTGAGGTAGATAACAATTTTCGGATGATTAAAAACATGAAAGCAAAAAGAAAAAATATGGAGCACCTGGGTGGCTCAGTCATTTAAGCGTCCAGCTGTGGATTTCAGCTTAGGTAATGATCTCAGGGTCATGAGATCAAGCCTCACCTCAGACTCCATGCTAAGAGTGGAGCCTGCTTAAGAGTCTCTCTCTCTCCTTCTCCCTCTGTCCCTCCCTCTCTGCTCTCCCTCTCTCAAAACAAATATATATGTATATATATGTGTGTGTATATATATATGTATATATGTATATGCGTATATATAGATACATTTATATATATCTATATATATGCATATATATATAATAGATATAATAAATCTATACATAAAAATAGACATATATACATATATATATACACACACATATATATACATATATATT